CCACTTCATTAAACTAGGGCTGGAGTGACAGCTCAGGGGCTGTCCCTGTAGAGGACCTGGTTCACCCATGTAGAGGCTCAAAACCTCTATAACTCCAGTTCCAGGGGATCTGATGCCCTCTTCTGGCCTCCACAGGCACCAGGCACACAAATGATCACAGACATGCATGCAGGCAAAACAGTCATACCCATAAAATAAAATATTTGAAATCTAAAAAGAGAAATTATGATAGTTATCAGATGGACACTGGATCTGAAGGGCGTATATTCTTCTTCTATATGTTCTATAACTCTAACAACTGTCTTTATAGAATTTGTTTCCTTGGTTATCCTATACATTTTGTTTTAGTAATTTTAGAGTCATTTTTTAAATTTTATGTTATGAATGTTTTGATTATATACATGCACCACATGTGAGCCTGGTGCTCACACTGCCCAAAGGACAGTGGTGGGTGTTCTCAAACTGGGGTCACAGACCCTGGTAAGAAGCCATAGGTGCTGGCGCTCAACCCTATCTTCTGAAGAAGCAGCGCCCTCTAGTGGATAGACCTCTGGACGGCTGTGCCCGTCGGCTACACACCAGGTGCTCCTGGCATCAAGGATTTCTGCCAAGATAGTCCTTACCCCAGTAGTCCCACCTTCCCCCAGCTGAGGAGCCCAAACAGACTTATATATTCTAACACAGCTAGTCTTTGTCACCGCAAAGTCACTCATGCGGAGTGACTGACCCTCCCGCGGCACGCCAGCCTGCTTGATCCATTCTGGAGTTGGAAGTGGTCCCTAGTCCCCTCCTCCCATCCCACTGCACCAGTCCCTGAGGACACAGTCCTAGAGAAGAGGACCTTCTAAGTTCTCAGAGACAGTGAGTGCACAGCAGGGTTGGTAGCCAAATCCCCTACCTTCTCTGCCTTCCTTCTCCCACCACATCCTTTGGGTATCAGTACTTAAAACCAGCAAAACTGCCAAGGCCTACCTCCACTGCCATCTTGCAAATTTCCCAGAGTCCCAGGCCAGAATTTCACCCTTTCTAACCCTTGTAAGCTGCATCCTCAATTCTGTTCTTGTCAAAGCCCTTCATGCTTCACTGTTTGAGAGCAGAGAGGTAGCTCTAAGAGAACCAAAAGGTTCTTCCAAAGGGTTAGAGTCTTCTATTCCTGGGTTTCTATTCCTGCACAAACATCATGACCAAGAAAAAAGTTGGGGAGGAAAGGGTTTATTCAGCTTACACTTCCACATTGCTATTCATCACCAAAGGAGGTCAGGACTGGAGCTCAAGCAGGTCAGGAAGCAGGAGCTGATGCAGAGGCCATGGAGGAACGTTACTTACTGGCTTGCTTCCCCTGGCTCACTCAGCTTGCTTTCTTCTAGAACTCAAGACTACCAGCCCAGGGATGGCACCACCCACAATGGGCTATCCCTCCCCACTTGCTCACTAATTGAGAAAATGTCTTACAGCTGGATCGCATGGAGGCATTTCCTCAACTGAAGCTCCTTTCTCTGTGATAACTCCAGCTTGGGTCAAGTTGACACACAGAGCCAGTCAGTACAGTTAGGATCCCAGCTTCCCTATCCAGTCTCTGCAACTGTAAGCGAGTCACACGGCTTCTCTGAGAGGTCCGCACGGAACACGTGGTTAATGATGCTCAGAGTTTTATAAGAACTAAATACAAACGTGGGTGTGGCTGTGAACTGCAGCCATAATGATGGTGATGACTAGCATTTATTGAGCAGTTGTGCCACGCTATCTAAGCTGCCAAATTAACTCCCTTGTGAAGATAACACTATTACCATCATTTTATCCATCAATAAACTCATTTTTGGAGAGATTAAGAAACATTTCCAACATTGGACAGCTAGTAATTGTCAAGACAGGTTTCAAATCCAACCTGACTCTAGAGCAGTGGCTCTTAACCTTCCTGATGCTGTGACCCTCCTTGTGTTGCTGTGAGCCCCAACCATAAAAGGATTTCACTGCTACTTTGTAACTGTAACTTTGCTACGGTTGTCAATCATAATGCAGATATCTGATACGAAGGATATCTGATATGCGACACCTTGGGTCTTGGCCCCCATGTTGAGGACTGCTACTCAGAGAGGCTTTTGGCCACAGAGACTCTTATTTTAATGACCTGCCTGTCCTCCTGTACCTGGCGTGTGCTAGACCGTAAGTGCTAGCCAGCTGTTTTCACTTTTCAAGGGCTTAACCTAGGATCTACCATAGAAGTCTAAGAAACGTGACGATGCCCCAGAATCTAGTACCTTGGTTGTTTTTGACAACTAATTGTACTGAAACAGAATTTTGTCTTCTGATACCAAGAGTCTGATATTTGCCCTATTGGCTAATACACTATCAAGTTTTACATTTTTGAGTCTGCTTTGAGTATGTGTGCAGCAATGATTTGACAGAAAGACTTCTTTATAGCCATCAGGTTGATCATTCTTCAAATCTTCTATACTTTTTTATCGCTTAACAGTTGAGACAGCCATGTTGAAATAAGGGTATCGTTGTAATTCCCATTTCTTTGAGCAGTTTCTCCAAAGTTTACTTTGAATAGTTAGAGGTTATTACATAGTTTCAGAATATCTTTTTAAAAATTAATTTATTTTTAGGTATTCAGGTGTTTTTCCTGCATGTATGTCTGTGCGCCCCATGCCTGCAGTGCCTGCAGAGGCCAGCAAAGTGTGTCAGGGACTTGTGTATTTCTTTACAAAACTATATCTTTTGGGTCTAGCGAGATGGCTCAAAGGTTAAGAGCACTAGTTGTTCTTCCAGAAGTCCTGGGTTCAATTCCTAGCACCCACATGGTGGCTCACAGCCATCTATAACTGTAATACTATGAGATCTAATGCCCTCTTCTGGTGTGCATACTTAAATGCAAACACACACACACACACACACATTTATGTATATAATTATTTTTTTAAACTACACCTTTTGCCTAATATTAATCCTGGAACTCACTCTGTAGACCAGGCTGGCCTCAGACTCACAGATATCTGGCTGTCTCAGCCTCCCAAGTGTTGGGATTAAAGGTACGAGCTAAGATGCCTGGCCATGATGGAATCTTATCCCTCTGAATTGTAAACATAAATGAACTCTTTAAGTTGATTTTGGTACTGATATTTTACCAGAGCAACAGAAAAGTATCTGATACACAACATGCAGATATATTCTTGGGTCTGAAGAATCAATGCCATAAAAATTTCAATTGTCCCTAAGTTAAAATATAAATTGAACATAGCCTAATTTTAAAAATAGCAATGTGGGGATGTCCTCTTACAGCTTCTATGGGTGCCACATGCATATACATGCAGACAAAACACCCACACACATAAAATCAAAATGAAAAAAAGTAATCCAACTTTCTTGGGTTGAAGAGGCAAAGAAGAGAAGGAGATAGAAGACACGAATATGATCAAGTTACTGTATCTATGTATGAAAATACAATGAGAGTCATTTCTCTACCTAATGAATATGTGGCAAAAAAAAAGAAAGAAAAAAGAAAAGGTATGTTTTAAGGGCCAGAGAGATGGTTCAGTGACTAAGAACACTGTCTGTTCTAGCAAAGGATCCACATTCAGCTCCCAGGACACACATGGCAGCTCACAAACACCTGCCACTCAAGTTCCAGGGATCAGACATCCTCTTCTGGACTCCTTAGGCAGCTGTACACACAAAATGCCCAAAGACACACACACACACACACACACCCCTACACATAAAACTATTAAAAATAAATCTTAAAATATATAATTTGTAAACATCAGAAACATGATTTATAAATATTTCTGGCTTTCTCCTTCAAATGTTGAAGCTTAGGTCTGTAATGTACACCAACAGCGTCTTTAAATACTTATTCCCCAGTTTGTCTGCTGCTATAGGAGGTTTCAGAACCTTGAGATATGGGGGCGGGGGAGACCTGGACTCACTAGGGGTGAGCCTACCAGCCTCTTCTAGCCTAGTTCTGTGTGACGCTTGCTGTGATGTGAATAAACCTGAGCCACAAGCTCCCTCTACCACAGAGACACCCTCTCAAGCCTTCCCTGCTAGAATAGGCTGAATCCCTCTGAAGCCATAATCAGAGAAGACCTTTCCTCCCTGAAGTTGCTCCAGTAAGCTGCTGTGTCACACCAATGAAAAAGTGACCACAAAGCTTGTGAGTACACCTAGTCAAGAAGTTATGGACTAGAAGTACTTAAATATACATTTATAAATATATATAATTTAAGGGCAGTGGTGGCACACGCCTTTAATCCCAGCACTTGAGAGGCAGAGGCAGGCGGATTTCTGAGTTCGAGGCCAGCCTGGTCTACAGAGTGAGTTCCAGGACAGCCAGGGCTACACAGAGAAACCCTGTCACAAAAAGCATATATATATATATACATAAAATGTATATAAGTCATATATAAACATACAGAAGATTCTTAAAATCATAGAGTGTATGTGTACAAACTCATATGGCATAGATAGGCTCTGCATACCTTCCATATGATACAACCTTTTGCTCTTGAGCAACACAGTTGCACAGCATACTATACTAAATACTATAGGCAACTGTAACACAATAAGTATTTATGTATCTAGATACAATGTACAGTAAAAAGGTGGCATTTTATATGTATAACTCTGCCCTTTTTGACATGTTAACTTATGATAGACACAATGTAAGCCCTTATTTATAAAACTAACACAGTTCAGTTTTTAAATAAATAATAGAGGTTGGTTTGGCTCATGATTCTTGATATGAAAAAAATCCAAGCGTGTGTCACTAGCATTTGCTAAGGACCCTCTTGCTACATTATAGCACAGTGGAAAGTCTCCATTTTCATAATAATTTATACTATGCATCACTAATGATGATGGTACCTTGAGAGATACATCACTAGATGATTTTATGGCTGCACAATCATAGAGTATATACATAGAAATCAAGATAGCATAGCCTGTGCCTACCTTGGCCACATGGTACAACCTTTTGCTCTGAGGCACAGCATGTTACTATGCAGAATACTGTAGGTAACGTAACAGCAAGCAGTTATGAATGTAGACATAGACAGTGTACAGTAAAACTACAGTCCAACAGTTTGAAATGGAACACCTAGATAAAGCACTTCCCGTGACTGGAGCCTGCAGGACTGGGAATCTCTTTGAATAACTGAGTGAGTGGGGAGTGGTGAGAGGCAGGGAGATGGCTGAACTCTGCTGAACCCTGCACGTCAGTACACTGTGCCCCAAATCCTGGCTGAAAATCCTCAAAAAAACCCAAATCCTCAGCACCTCAAAAAAACCTTACTTCAGTCTTAAAGTAACCTTCACTCACTACAACGTTTTTACTTTACAGCCTTCTTAATTTTTAAATTTAGCCTAAAACATAAATATGCCAGTCTGGAAGACCCACACCTGTAATCACAGCTGGGGCAGTTGAGGCAAAAGGCAAAAAGATTTTCTGAGTCAGAGTTTTTCTGTGTGGCCTTGGATGTCTCAGAACTTATTCTGTAGGCCAGGCCACCCTCTGCCTCCCAAGTGCTGGGATTAAGTGTGTGCTTCCACTGACAATATCTACACATTCTAATTCTGTAAGCTTGTTCTCTTTTGCAAAGCTTGCTAAGGTCTGTAAAGCCTTTGGACCCTTCCCTGTGGGTTTTCTTGGAGTTCTGGTTTTTAATTCTCTTCTGCCCTATTTTTCTCTTTCCTCTTTCCCCATTCTCCTTTCCGCTGTTCTTTTTCCTCTTGTCCTTCCAGTCACTCATTCCTGTCCCCATTTCATTAACATCTCTTGGTACCACTGATGTACAGGCAGCCTCTCATTGACTGAAATGTTGGTATAAGGCACATGCCTGAATAATATTCTCTTGTATGAATGAATCAAATTTATCAAATCAGTTTCCTGTTTTTTTGCTTAACCAAGATTAGAATATAAAAATATAAATAATAATAGTAATAAAAATATTAGGAGAAAATAGGCTCAACCTGAGGGGAGCCTTATGAAAACAATATTGTAAACCAAACAACTTTTTTAAAAAATTAAAACTTTATTGTAAAGAAATTACAAATAAGAAAAAAAAACACACACTAAAATTAGCCCAACCCAAAGTCTATGCATCTCAATAAACTTCTATACAGGACAGCTATTCTGAAGCTGGGGGACTTCATGTCGGGTTTTACACTTTCATTATCCAGTATGGTTCTTAGTTCTTAGGAATCACCGAAATATCCATGATGGAATTGAAACTAGAACAAAATTAGCTTATCTTCTTTCATGATACAAGTGCCCTTTACCTGAATTCAGTCCTTCCTCACCCCCTAATATTTACCCTTTCTTGTTCTCCTTTCTACATATTATACTTTACCACATGTATTTACATATGTGTATTCATATGTATATACACATATACAATACACACATATGCATATCAGGGGCTATTTGCCAAATGAGCCCAGGAAAAATAGGCAGAGTCTCTTAGCCCAAACCCCCAATTCTTTTCTCCACTTCTCCTTTGCTTGATCTTTTTCTATCACTCCCAAACCAGCTATACCCTTCAGTTTTCTTCATCTCCACCACACTGTGAACAACCCCGACAAGTACGATAGAAAGCTGGTCTTGGAGGCCTGGAAGCCTTCATCTCCTGAGCCTCTCCCCATGCTTTTCAGGAGTGCACAGCCAAAGAACAACCGTCAAAGTCAACATTTACGTGAAATTCCTGGGGCTGACGACAACAACAAGCGAATCCTGATGGGCCCTGGCCAAAGCTGCTGTGCCCTGGCTATCCTGCTGGCAATTGTGAACTTCCAACATGGTGGTGAGGCTAGGTCCCAGGGGAGAGGCAGCCATTGGGAGAACCCTGGGCTCAGGGGAAGGATGTTCTCCCTGCATGATTTCATTTGTCTGTGAAGATCCCCTGATTCTTCCAGACATGTGAAGGAACCCCTAAGCTTTCTAAATTATAGTAACCGTATAATTTGATAGTGATTTCTGATAATGTAAGAGCATCTTTTCAAATCTATCTTTGGAAACCTATTGTCTCAGTTAGGGTTTTACTGCTGCGAACAGACACCATGACCAAGGCAAGTCTTATAAAAACAACATTTTGTTGGGGCTGGTTTACAGATTAAGAGGTTCAGTTCATTATCATAGAGGCAGAAGCAGACAGCGTCCAGGCAGGCATGGTGCAGGCAGAGCTGAGAGTTCTACATCTTTATCTGAAGGCTGCTAGTGGAAGACTGACTTTCAGGCAGCTAGGATGAGGGTCTTATAGCCCACACCCACAATGACATGGCCACTCCAACAGGGCCACACCTCCTAATAGTGCCACTCCCTGAGCCTAGTGTATACAAACCATCACACCTATTCAACACTTACAAATGCTGGAGCACAAAGGCATGCAGATATACATTTCTAAAGCAGCTGAGGGGCTTTCACAGAAGGCCTGGTTCAATTCCCAGCACCCACATGGTAGTTCACAACCATCTGTAACTCCAGTTCCAAGGGATTCATACCCTCTTCTAACCTCCTTAAGCACCAGGTATGTGCATGATACATATACATGCATGCAGCCCAACACCCATACACATAAAATATATAAATCTTCTAAAAGTTTGATGCAGCTTAAATAATTTGCTTAGATTGTGTTAAAACAAAAGCAAACCAAGACCTGTGCTGGGGAGACAGTTCAGTTGGTAAAGTGCTAGCCAAACACACAAAAATGCCAGGCATGCACTGGGGAGGGGGAGGGGAGCCAGGAAGAGCCTTTGGGCTTGCTGGCCAGCCAATCCAGCTAGAGACCCTGTCTCAAAGAAAGTAAAGTGTTCTTGAAGATGCCACTGAAGCTATCCTCTGGCCTACACACACACACACACACACACACACACACCTCAAGCGCACGAGCACACACACACACCACTTACATGCATGAATAAAAACAATCATTTCCCTTTGAGGTCTTTGCCCTTTGAAGAGGGGAGACAGCTGGAAGAACAAAGCAATAGTTCATGCTCCATCCATGGCTGGGCTTCTACAGCAGCCTTACAGCAGCTACCATCACTGCACTGCGACAGGAGGCAGCAGGCACGGGTCACACCAACTCCATTTGGCAATTCCCACACTGGTCACGATTAATCAGTCTGCCCAGGTGATCCATCTTCTGGTAGCATCCATGTACTAGTTTTTGCTCACATGCTGAAAACACTACAATAACGTGTAGCAACCATGGAGGGATTTTCTGCATACACAACCCTTGGACTCATGGTGTCAGTGAACCAGGTGAGGTCCCTTGGTATTCTACCACCACGAAGGTGCGCTGAGAGAACTGCTTGGTGGCCGCCATGCGCCTGTCTTCCACTGATGAGAACGTTTTCCTTTGCCGCTCTCAAGCAGCTCATACAATCTTTTCATTTTTGTCAGTTTGCCACTCAACTTTGCTCCCCATGGGCTCCCTTGGACAAGGTAGAAACCCCTGTTTACTTCTGTTCCCCACCCCAATCCTTATTTTCAGGGACCTGTTTGCACTTGTGGGATTTCTTCAGGGCTTGCCTGGCCACAGCTACCTTGGTGGAATCATACCACGAGAGTAGAGTTTTTGAGGCACCATTGTTTCTGATCTTGGCTTGAAAAGGTGCCCGAGAACCTCTCCTGGCATCTCTGATCCCTGTTCCACCTTCCTGGAGCTTCCTGGAGCTTTCTTTTCTCTCCGTACTTCCTGTAGATTCCAAGTAAGGCCTTCCTGGAGTGAGAATTTTGGTTTCTTTGAAAAACACAGAAATATTATGAGAATATGCTTTCATTTTAATCCCAAGTGTGGAACATGGGGCTGCTTCAGATTGTCCACAGCAGCTGACTATGATTTGCCTCATGCTCTAGCAAGGGCATTATTTTTCCATCTGCAGATAGTTTCTGTGATTGTGTGATGTTTGGAATTCTGGTACTTTACAGAGGGTACATAAATGCTAGGGCCCCGAGACTGCAGTTTGTTAAGTAGTATTCAAGTGCAAAGAAGAAACAAGAAGAAATTAGATATCCTGCCTGGGAAGGTCAAACTTGCCCCAAGGATCTCAACACCCCTAATCAGCAGAAAGCAGTCTAACGATAATGCTATGCCTTTCCCCTCTATCCTTCTTATCTCCCTTCTAGTGTTAGGGGGTGCAAAGGGATGGAAGAAAGAAGAACCCACAAAGTAGCCAAAGACAGGCTACAGCTTCCCAGAAATCTGACTTTATGGTGTACATCCAGTTTCTCTCCCTGAAGTAGGAAGACATTCCAGAGCACCTGTTTGCATCCATTCACACAGGAACAAACCTTTGTCTGGCAAACACATTCTCCCCATTGGTAGGGCTTCCCCCTACCCATCTGCCTTACCACCTCCAGGCCCAGGAACATCATGGCTACTGCCTTCACCTCTGTCGAGGGACCATGGCCTGAAACCTCAGTGTTCACCATAGAACAAAGTGCAGTATTTTTTGCCAGTTTTACTTTGGTTGTACACTGAGAGCAGAGCCGTGATGGTGTGACTGAAATGTCCTAGTAAGTCTTGGTTGGGCATTTGACTACTTGCTCCCCAGTAGTGGCTGCTTGGGAAGGATTAAGTCATATGACTCTGTTGGAGATGTGTCATGGGGCACAGGCTTGAGGTATCAAAATCTTCTCTCCATTCTCACTGTTCTCTGTCTTCTGCTTACAGTTTGAGATGTGAGTTCTCAGCTATTCCTGCCACCATGTCTGCTCTGACATCGTGGACTCTAACCCTCCCAGAAAAATTAAACACTTTTTTTTATTAGTTGCCTTGGTCATGGTGTTTTGTCACATCACTGAAAAGTGACTAAGACGGGGCTCATGTTTTATTTGTCATGGGCCCCAGCAGCATGGTGTAGAAGTTTTACCTGTGTATATCTGGTCCCTTAACTCTCACTTCCCAGGAGAATTAGAAGCAGGCAGTGTGCTTACTGTCACAGAAGCAATTAGAAGTTGTGTTTCCCATCTGTCAGTGTCAGACTGTACTCTAGGGACAAGGACCAGCTAGATGGGACTTGAGGAACCCTGGCTTCCCACAGTTAACTTTTGCATTCCGTTCCAGGATGCATTCATGTCACCAGCTCAGCATCCCTGAAAGGAGGGCAACTGGACTTCACCTGTACTTTGTGGCACAAGAAAGACGAAGCTGAGGGGCTAATACTCTTCTGGTGCAAAGACAGACCTCATAACTGTTCCCCTGAGAACAGTTTAGAACAGCTAAGGGTTAAAAGAGATCCTGGGACAGATGGTATCACTGAAAAGTCATCTCAGTTGGTGTTTACCATAGAACAAGCTATACCATCAGACAGTGGGACCTACCAGTGCTGTGCCAAAAGCCAGAAGCCAGAATTCTATATTCATGGACATTTTCTCTCTGTTCTAGTCACAGGTGAGTCCCTAATATCCCTAATGCCATCAGAGGAACAGTGAACAGGGCAGACAGTGGGAGTTTCAAGTAGCTATTTGAGGTCCTAGATAGAAGTTCCCTTGAGAATCCTTCCTATTATCCAGTCCTCTGCTGACACCTCAATTAGCAGATAGATGCAGCTTATCTTACACCTTTCTTCAAAGTATATATACAAAGGTAATTATATCTTTACTACTCTGAATCTTTACAGAATGCCTTTCATTCTCATTAGAAGACTGAATCATTAGAAGCTGGAGAAATTTATTTAATGATACAAATTGACTGGGCTAATAAAAATACAGGTTTACAACTTAGGCCTTTTGATACTTACTCTGGAGTTCTCCCAGTGATGAAGCTATATTTCTTCAAATAGACAGAGATGGGTTTGAAATAAAATGGGTGATTGCCCTATGAAGCATTCAGCTCTAAGAAACAGGAATCCACTCAAACCAATGAATTAAAAAACAAAAATAAAGCAAAAGTGTGGATTGCCCCCATAAGTTCAGTTTTCTAGAATCAGAAGTCAGAAAGTTGACAGAACCCTGAACTATCACTCTGGATCTTGAGCTCACCAAGATAACAAGGCTTCTGATCACTGACTGTGTCCTTCATGATGGGCATGCCTCCCCTGCTCCATTACCTCCTCAATAGAACAGTAGCATGTGCTTCATCACCACATAATGTGTGGCAATACAATAAATGTGACAACCCTAGTCAAGCTTTATAAAGGGCCCATCTTAGAGAAAACCTTCAAAAATTCTGTGGGGGGAAAAAGTATCTTCTACCTAGAATTCTATACCCAGCCAAACTATCAACCAATATGTGAGAAGACAGACACTGTCAGATATACAGCGGCTTTTTTAAAAAAGCATGCTGTCTGTATGAACTCTTCTCAGTGCTGCAGATTGAACCCAGGACCTACAGCGTGCTAAACCAGTACTTAACCACTAAACCATATATCAGCCTCATATGAAATTTTTTTTTTTTTTTGGTTTTTCGAGACAGGGTATCTCTGTATAGCCCTGGCTGTCCTGGAACTCACTCTGTAGACCAGGCTGGCCTCGAACTCAGAAATCCTCCTGCCTCTGCCTCCCAAGTGCTGGGATTAAAGGTGTGCGCCACCACCGCCCGGCTCATATGAAATTTTTAAAGAAGATATTTCCAAATATGTTCTCCAAGTCTCTTGAATCACATTTGAAGTATTTCTCTAGACTTTAACAAGTGAGATCCTTGAGATTACCAATCATTTCTCTTTCAACTTTCTACAGGACTTATTGTTCAATAAATGGGCTACCAACTCTAAGTACTGTCCCAATCCATTCTAGATTGCCAGCAGACATATCTAAAAGGTCAGCTTGTGTACGCTGTGCTGGCACTCAAAGAATTAATGGCTTCTCAGTGTCTGAAATGCCTAATCAAGTTAGCCTAGTAAAACCTAGTGGTTCTCGATCTGTGAACTGTGTATCAGATATTTACATTATGATTCATAACAGTAGCAAAATTAGTTATAAGTAGGAACAAAATAACTTTATGGTTGGGGTCACCACAGCATGAGGGACTGTATTACAGGGTCATGGCATCAGGAAGAGGAAGTCTGAAAGCCACTGCTCCAGGCAATTCTATTGTATTTATGCAGCTTCTCTGCTCTAGTTAAACTGAAGAGTAGCTATTTCCCTGCCCTCTCTTCATTCATTGAATGAATAACCTACTGCACGTCCTGAGCACAGTGCCAAGTGCTGCACACCAGAATGAGGTGGAACAGTCCTTGCTCCTTCAAACCTAGTGTTCATAAGCTCCTCATACACCCCGAGTGTTTCTACTTGAGCTGACTTTTCCTCAACAAAGAATGTCTATATCCTCTCAGGCTACTTAATTATTCAGCACATATGACCATCAACTGTGGAAATAAGGTTCCTTCTGGAAAGTAGCAGATAGACAACAGGTGGCATTAAAAAACAATGCCCACCAAGTACTGGGTGCTCAGTGTGTGCCAGGGATTGTGCTTGTATTAATCCCTACAGACTTTCAGGAGGTATTATCATTGTCCTGTGACAATTCATACTCAACACTCACACAGAGAGGCAACAACAGAAGCCCCAGCTCTACTCCAGCACCTGAGATTTTAACTTATGCTAAATGACTTGATCCATTCCAGAAGACTGTTTATAATGAATGAAATCTAGCAAAAACCCAAAGTACCCAAAGTGCAGGGTAACCTGTTTTACCTTTCTGTCAAAACTCTAGAGCTCCTGGAGGCCTACTTGCATTTCTGTCTCTGGTGAATGCTAGATTCTGTGTTAATATACTACATTTAAATATAAATACCATAGCTCACAGATATCAAAAATATTTGTTCAGGAAGTGAATTAAGCGCCAGGCCTTCTTGGAGATTACACAGGAAATGCTACAAAAGGAAGCTCTTGCCTTCTGGAGCCTTCTTTTGATCCATGATTCTGTTTTTAACCCGGAACAGGGAACCACACAGAGATAAGACAGAGACAAAGGTCACACCCTGACTTCAGCCACATCAACGGCACTCTCAGTTCAGGCTTCCTGCAAGTAAAGGCTTGGGGGATGCTGGTCACCAGCCTGGTGGCCCTTCAAGGTATGTCCACAAGAGATTTCAGCCCTCCAAGCTGAGTCTGTATCTTTGTGAGCTTAATTATTTCCTAGGAGGAAAAGTACAGAAAGGAAGCTCTTAGGGAGGAAAAAGTCTTCCCCAAGCATGCAAACAAGTATGTGGGTGACACAGGTTTTAAGGAATTAATGTCCTCATAATTCTGTCTCTACGTGAAGACAGATGGATCGGACTTTCCACTGGGTAAGAGGTCAGACCTCTTAGAAGAGGCCTGTGGGAAGACGGTAAACACTGCTACCTCCATTCACCACTAAACAAATGAACTAGTTTGAATGATACTATAATGTAAGCTCTACAATTGCATAGATCTTTCTTGTAAACTGTATGAGAGATTGGTAAATCTAATCTCAGACAACACCTCCAAGCAAACATCCCTATTACTTATGAGAGAATTAAGAGTGCCCCTCACAGGATGTAGTGCAGACCCTTCGAACGCTGCATGATGCCCTATAACATGCAAAGCACTTCTATCCCCATTACAAACATCTGCATTTTCACATTGCCTCTTCATATATCCAGAAACAGGGCCAGAGACAACTTCATAAGCAAATGCATCTCTCAGATGGAGAGAGCCTGTACCTGCCACCCATGGCAAGGACATGCTAAAACCGGGCCAGCTTTCACACAGGGGCTCTGGGGATCAAGTGCTCTGTCCCTTTATTCACAGTTCACTAAATACAAATTTCCCTAGCAGGATAAATTATATTCTTGTTAATGTTATTTCTTTAGGCACAGTACAAACCCCAAGGGGAAACTAAGTCCAGCCTTGCACTATCACCACTACCTTTAACTCCAAAGCCATCCCAGGACTACAAAGTCTCTGCTTATGGTTCCCTTTGCTAGTCAAGAACAAAGCTTTAAATTCGATTATTTGTTTTCTCCTATACTCAAGAAGCTTTAAACATACAAAACAAAAACAAACAAACAAAACCCAAAGCTGACTCGTACTACTATGTTGTGAAGTTGTGTGTGAGAGAAACTGAGACGTGGTCTCCCCAAGCAGCCTAGACTGGCCGCCAAGCATTGGGATTGCAGATGTCAACAGCCACAGCTAGTTTTTCCTTTTCTTCATCTCTCTGAAACTCAGGCCTAGTAGAATTATGGAAGAGGCAGTGTTCAGCAGAAAAAGACACACACATTTTCTTGCACCTTAGCAATATCATGGAGACCAAGTTATAATGCTTCCTTTCAGGTGAGGAAAAAGAGAATTTCCTGGATCCCTGTGCCTCCCTCTGCACCTCCCACACAACACATATATTATGTTCATATATTTTCCCCATTTCCTTTCCAGTCATGAAATCCTACCAAACACACATCTCAGGTGATGTGTGACAGGTGAGACTTCTCACACCAGGTGTTCTATTTCACAGCCAGCCTAAGTTGTGAGGTAATAATACAACCTTTTAATTTTTTTTCTACAGCTCCACAAACCTTATGACAATGAGAAAACAAAAACTTCAGAGGAAGGTACAGTGAGGTAAATCTGACAATGTGCACAGAGAAGACTGGTCCATAGAACGGATGCCGGGTACTCCAAGCACCTGGAGGGCCAGCGAGATGGTCAAGAAGTAAAGGTGCCTGCCTGCACATTTCAGGTCAAGCCTGTGTGCCCACATGGTGGAGGGACAGAACTGACCCCCACAACCTGTCCTCTGATCTCCACTGGAGTGCCATGCCTCCACCCCAGCCAACAAAAACATCCCAAGAATCTGGTAGAGCAGTTGGTATACTCCTGAATTTCCTCCCTTACTGCCAGAGCAAGGTTGGCTTCTCTCACCTCGGTGCCAATAAAGAAAATGTTTTGCAAATGTCTCTGATGCATAGTCCTTGAATATCAGGTATGTTTTATACCCCAGAATAATGTTTCCTCTCCACACAATAAAACAAGCAAGTTTTAATTTTATGTGTGTGGAAGAGGCATTTGTGAGGGCACTGCACACATGTGGAGGCCAGAGAAAACTCTTGGGAGCCAGTTCTCCTTCTACCATGGGGTCTGGAGATCAAACTTAGGGGGCCAGGCTTGTGTGCATGCTTTCCGCTGCTGAGCTAGCTCACCAGCCCCAGATAAGCAAGTTTTTAAAAGATAAGAACTTAGGGGGTGAAGAGATGCTCAGAGGGAGTGTGCAACTGTAACACTAGAGTCAGGATCTCAGCACCTATGGAACAAGCCAAGAGTTCCCATAAGCCTCAGCTTCAAGGGGCCAGAGACAGGATTGCTGGGGCTCGCTAGCATCCAGTGTAGTGGAGAAAAATGGGAGACCCTACCTCAGAGGAGTAGGTAGAGAACAATGGAGGACCCCCAATGCCCTCTTCAGGCCTCCTTTTGCATGTGTCTGCGCTCACGCACGTGCACGCACAGACACAGACACACACACAAACACATACACTAAATAAATCTTTAAAAATGAAAACATCATTCTTAAAAAGAACTGTTTATTTAACACTGTAAAGAAAAATATAAAACAAGCAAATATGAATAAGAGAGAGAGGGAAACAGGAGCAGTGACTGGTTTGCAAGGAAAACAAAAATGAAGGCATATTTGCCCCACTGCTAGAAGAGGAGGGAAACTGAGTCAGGCCAGGAACATCACAGATGGCAGTCGTCTAGCATCAACACAGGACCTGTAGACTCTTTGGTTACTAATTTTTTTTTTTTCTTGAGACAGGTTTTCTCTGTAGCTCTGGCTGCTCTGAAACCTGCTCTGTAAACCAGGCTGGCCTCAAACTCAGTGATCCACCTGCCTCTGTCTCATGAGTGCTAGGACTGAAGGTGTGCGCCACCACTGCCTGGCTGGTCACTGGTTTTAAAAAGATGATCAAAGCCTGTGTTTGCACACTTTTCCTGTTCCTAAACTCACACGCCTTTTTTGACTTTGGACAGATAACCTCTTGTCACAAATAGAACAAGGAACAGACGATTTCCAACAGCAGGGACTACTCAAAGACAGGGACACAAAATTTAGTGACCCTAAGTGGCAAGCCATCAAAATAGATACCTCACCTTCACCTCTTTGGCACAGACCTACCCAAGGTGGGAACTAAGATTTATGGAGACTAAGACCAAGGATGACATGTTGCAGTAATATTCTTAATAGGATAGTCTAGAAACTCAAACTGAAGACTTTTGACTTTGTGTCCTACAAAAATAAAAAGAATAGGCTTGAAGTATAAAACCTGGATCCAAATTCTGGCACTGCAATGTAATAGCTGAATGTCTTTAGGCAACTGAAACTTATCTTTATTTTATGTGTTGAATGTTTTGCCTGTACATGTGTGCATCACATGAATGCCTGGTGCCCACAGAAAACAGCATCAGATCCCCTGGCACTGTAGTTACAGGTGTGTAAAGGAGACATCACCCACAGTGTTTTTCTAAGAATCAAATAAGACCCTGTATTTGGAACCCAGAGACATCTGAATTTTGACTAGGAGTCAAAACTTTCTCCACTATGTTACATTCTTCTTTAATCTTTTCTACCTGATTATGGCTTTAACTAAATGTTAAACTCACATGAACAGAGATGTCATTTGCCTTTTACTCTTCAGAGAACCTTCTGGAACTACTCAGACCACAGTCACCTCAGCACCACATCCAAATACAGGGCAGGTTCCATATAGCATATTGTATTAACTGAAGTGCACACACAAATCTGCACACAAGATGTGATCTCTGCTGGTTTATCAAGACAGTCACAAGCATTTAACTAAGAATAAATAAGTAACCATAAAGCAAAGGTCTAAAACAATCTGTTTCTTCTGCTTATTTTAAGATTCAGTTAAGCAGAAATGGGAAATACTGTCTTGGGTTTAAAATGTGTTGACATAATCAATTTCAATTTTAAATAAGCCCATGAACTTCCATATATGAAGCCCAAAATCTGTATGAATAATTCACAACTTGTGAAGCCACTGAGCTATTACAAAGATCCTAAAAACCCATTTCCTTCTGTTCAAATAAATATCTTACATATGTTATATAGATGTGTGTGTTACATATATATAGTTATATCCAGTTATACACACATATATGTTATGTGCAGTTATATGTGTGTGTGTGTGTGAATGTGTGTGTAACTGGATATAACTGATAAAGACAAATTGATTTAAATACATATAAAAATCAAAGCAGCGTTTGTAGCAGCATATTTTCCCCACCAATTGGGAGGAGCTAAGGTGAGAGGAGTAAGAAGAGGAAGAAGAAAAGGAAGAGGAGGAGCTCGGGGAGAAAGGACCAGAGAGAGGGGAACATGGCAGTGGACATGCACGTGTCTCTAGCAGTCAAAGGTAGTTGACATATCTAGGTTGGGTATTGGGTTACACCTCCAATTCTGTACGCATCTTGATATTTGAGCATTATCAAATATATAAAGCTATTGGATAATCTTTAACCATTAGAGTCTCATTTCTACTGGGCTCGAGTGGATGGCGGGATGGCCTGGGCTCAGCCCAACCTTGTGGAGACAGCATGGAAGATTGGCAGAGCCATCTCCCACGCTGGTGTCTTGTGGGTGGCAGGGCTGGTGGCTCTGGCTGCCTGAGCTGGCAGCCTGAGCAGAGCAGCTGCAAAAATAGCTGTGGCTGTTCATGGCCTAGCCTAGTCAGGAACATGGCGGCTCTGTAACACAAGACAGAACAGGTGCCGCCGATTTAGAATATTACTGCAACAAGTTTTTTGCTATTCACTCATCAAAAGTTGCTAGAAATATAGCTATCTCTCTTCTTACTGGGAGGATCTCTAATGCATCTGAGGGTTTAAGAACTGTGCTTCTGATTGGAGAAAGCACCACAAGCCCACAGCCATGACTTATAGACCTGGGCTTCTTAGTGAAAAAAATTTTTAAAAAGCTACAACAAAGACTTTATTTCTGTGGGCCATCTAATTTGTCAGCAAAACAAAATTTATATGTTAAAAATGACACCATTCCGTTAAATCTTTCCCCAACTCCCTACACAAGGTCTTAGGACATTCAAATGCAATGTCATCTGAATTTCAAATCTCCATGAATCTCACAAACTGCACTGTATTAGGATTTTCTAGAGGAACAGAACTGATCCTCTATACATATTCATATTTGTATACTGATGTATATGTATCTATTCATATAAATAATATATAATTCATATATTAATGAATTACACATATTATTTATTACAGTGGCTTACAGGCTATGGTCCAGCTAATCCAACAATGGTTACCAACAGGAAGTTCAAGATTCCACTAGTTGTTCATTCAGTCCACGAGGCTGGATGTCTCAGCTGGTCTTCAGTACATGCTGGAATCCTGAAGAAGTAGGCTCCAATGCTAGTGAAGTGAGGGGCTTCCCATCAAGAGCAAGGGCAAGCAGACAGCCAGCTTTCTTCTTCCATGTTCTTATACAGGCTGCCACAAGAAGGTGGAGCTCAGATTAATCCCGAAGGTGTAACCCATGTGTACCAGCTAGGGTTTTAGTTAATTCTAGCTGCAGTCAAGTTGGCAACCAAGAACAGCCATCACAAGCACTTTTACCTTCCCATTTCTCTACCAGAGAGGGAAAAACCCTTAATGTTCAAGTATCTATTGAACACAAGCCCTGCTTCTTCTAAAATCTGTTTTCCTCCACTGATGTCAGTGGGTCTGTCCATCAGCTTTAGCCACCAATTCCTAAGCATCCCTCACTTTTAAGTGAACTCAGAGATTCACCTGCTTCTGCTTCCCAAGTGCTGGGATTAAAGGCATGCACCTCCATGTTGGGCTTTTCTAGGACTTTATCATGAAGGGGTGTTGGACTGATATTTTGTCAAGGGCTTTTTCTGCATCTAATGTGATGATCATATGAGGGTTTTTTCTTTTTGTTTGTTTATATGGTGGATACATTTACTGATTTACAGATGTTGAATCAGCCCTGCATCTCTGGACTGAAGCCTACTTGATCATTGCGGATGATCCTTTTTATGTATTCTTAGATTCCATTTGTCCCAAATATTTTATTGAGTATTTTTTAATCTATGTTCATAAGAGAATTGGTTGGAAATTCTCTTTCTTTGTTGAGTCTGTGGTTTGAGTATCAGGCTAACTGTAGCCCCATAAAATGAACTGGGCAATGTTTCTTCTATTTCTAATTTATAGGATAACTTGAGTATTGGCATTAACTCTTCTTTGGCAGCTTGGTAGAATTCTGCACTAAAACCATCTGGCCCTGGGCTTTTTTTTAGTTGGGAAACTTTTAATGACTGCTTCTATTTCCTTAGGAGTTATAGGTCTGTTTAAATTGTTTATCTGATCTTGATTTAACTTTGGTAAGTGGTACCTATTGAGAAAATTATCCTTTTTAGATTTTCCAATTTGATGGAGTACAGGTTTTTAAAGTATGATTCTCTGGCTTTCCTCTGTATCTGTTGTTATATCCCTCTTTTCATCTCTGATTTTATCAATTTGGATATTCTTTTAGTTTGAATGAGGGTTTGTCTATCTCGTTGATTTTTCTCAAAGAACCAACTTTTTGTTTCACTGATTCTTTGTTCTCTTTTATTGATTTCCACCCTTGGTTTGTGGTTACTTTTCTGTTGTTTTTCTTAGAGCTTTCAGATGTGTTGTTAAGTTGCTAGTATGAGATTGCTTCAATTTTTTATGTATGCATTTAATGGTGCTGAACTTTCCCCTTACTACCACTTTCACTGTGGCCCATAAGTTTGGGTATGTTGTGTATTCATTTTCATTGATTCTAGAAAGTCTTTCTCTATTTCTGTCTTGACCCATTTTTCATCCAATAGAGTTGTTCAGTGTCCATGAGTTTGTAAGCTTTGTTTTTTCTGTTGATGATATCTAGCTTTAATCCATGGTGGTCTGATAGGATGCAGGGAGTTGTTTCAATGTTCTTTTATCTGTGTAGACTTTTACTTTGTGTCTGAGTATGTGGTCAATTTTGGAGAAAGTTCCATGAGGTGCAGAGAAGGTATATTCTTTTCTTTTTGGGTGAAATGGTCTGTAGATATGTTAGGTTTCTTTGGTTTATAATATCTGTTATCTTTATTATTTCTCTGTTTTCGTCTGGATGACCTTAGTTATGGTTTCATTACTCTGAAGGGACAGCATGATCAATGTAACTCTTATAAAGACAAACATTTAAGTGGGGGTGGCTTACAGTTTAAGAGATTCAGTCCATTATCATGGTGGGAAGCATGGCAGCATCCAAGCAGACATGGAACTGGAGGAGCTGAGAGTTCTATAAAGGCATCCAGAAGAAGACTATCTTCTGAAGACATCCAGGAGTAGGGTCTCTATTCCACACTGGGCAGACCTAGAGCCCAGGAGCACTCCAAAGCCTACCTACACAATAGCACACTCCCCCCAACAAGGCCAAACCTCCTAATGGTGCTACTTCCCATGGGCCAAGCACATTCAAACCACCAGACCAATATCTGGTGTCAGATATTGAAGTCTCCCACTATCAAGTGTGTGAGGGTCAATAAGTGATTTAAGCATTTCTTTTACAAACTTTGGGTTCTCTTGTGTTTGGAGCATAGATGTTAAGAATTGAAATGCCATCTTGGTGGATTTTCCCATTGATGAGTATGTAGGATCCTTCTCTCTTTTGATTAGTTCTATTTTGAACTCTATTTTGTTAAGATATTAAATGGGCTATACCAGCTTGCTTCTTAGGTCCATTTGCTTGTAATATTTTTTTCAACCTTTAACCCTGAGGTAATGCTTATCTTTGATGTTGAGGTGTGTTTCTTGGATGCAGCAGAAGGATGGAATTTTCAGAATTAATTCTGCTAGTCTGTGTCTTTTTATTGGGGAATTGAGATAATTGATACTGAGACATATCAAAAACTAATGATTGTTGTGTCCTGCTTTTTGTTGTCAGTGGTGGTGGTTTTGTGTGTGTGTGTGTGTGTGTGTGTGTGTGTGTGCAGGCACATGTGCACATGCACGTGCATTTTTCCTTAAAAAAAAAATGCTTCTCAAATTTGCGTGTCATGCTTACATAGGTGCCAGACCATATGAGGTCTTAATCCCTAAGTCATCACTCCAGCCCAGGAATTACTTTTTCTGATAATTTAAACCATATTGTAAGGAAAGGGTTGTTGTTGTAATGTCCAACCCTAATAAATCCGTATAAAAGACACACAATCCAGATATTTTAATTATAAGCTATAAGCCTAGATTGGGCAGATCTAGTACTACACTAACTTATTCCCCAGCTATAAGACCCCTTGCTACTTGCAGTTTTTCCGGTCGGCCATGCAGTTTTGGTATATCTCAGCATCTCCTCCTCTTCTTCCCTCTCTACATGCCTTCCCTTATAGAGCCTCCAGTCCCACCTTTCCCTTCCACTGCCCAATCACAGGCTCTAGCCTTTTATTGACAGTTAAAATGGAGAGAAGGCTCACATAGCATCACCTGGGTATGTGAAGGAGGCAACCCTTCTTGAGAAACCAGTATTAACATAAGAATACAAACAGCATCAGGCCAACCCACTACAAATGGTCAAAGAGTTACAGATAGCATCAGAGGAACATAATCCTGGAGTCTTCACGTCTCTCAACATTTCAAAGAATCTGAAATAGGAACTCTGGGAAAATTTAACTGTAAATAGCATATCATTTCTTTTCCTTCCTTTCAGCAACTCAGCCCTTATAAAGATGTGGAAGATAGGCTATGTGTCGGCTTCTTCCCAATTCCATCTGCCAAATGTTTTTTTGAATGAGTGTTTTGAATGAGAACACCCCCATCCTCCCACAGGCTCCTAAGTTTGAATGCTCAGTCCTTAGTTGGTGGAACTTTCAGGAAGGAGTGTCTTGTTGAAGGAGTGTCACTAGCGATGAGCTTTCAAGTTTCAAAAGGCCAGCCATTCCCAGATAGCTCTCTCTCTCTGCCTCCTAGTTGTGAATAAGAATATAAGCTTTCAGCTGCTGCTCCAGTGCTGTATCTGCTCCTTGCTGTCATGACCCCCACCATGATGGACTCTAACTCTCTGGAACCATGAGCTCCAAATTAAATGCTTTCTTTTATATGTTGCCTTGGTCATGGTATTTTATCAAGGCAATAGAAAAGGAACTAAAACACTAATCAATATGAAAATGGATTTGACTATGCTGTCTGAAAAATATGAAGGGCAATTAGTCCCTAGGAAAGCAGCAAGGCTCTAGCCTAGGTTCTCTGCTCTCAAATCTATGGTGCTCTGAATGCACAAATAACTGTTTCAGAGTAGCAGGTAACAATAGCTATATCTATACAAATACAGAAGCAGTTATTTCTATCCATATAGAGCAAGCAAAATTGGAGTAGGAAAATCTCCTTAGCTCTGCCCACATAGGGTAGGGCATTAATATTAATATAAAGTTCTTGTGATGCTTCACTCTGAGCCGTCAACTTTTCATAGCCAAGAATCATCTGAGAAGAGAATTTCATTGAGGGATTGCCTAGATTAAGTTGGCCTGTGGACTGGGCACTGAACTCTAAGGACGAACGAAGTGTGGTGGAGTGAACTGGGCAGGTAGGCATGTATGCTTATTACATCTTCTCTCTGCTCAGCTAAGCATGTGACTGTCAGCTTCAAGGTCCTGCCCTGACTTCCCTACAACCATGACTGCAACCTGGAATTTACAAGGCAAATAAACCTTTCCTCTGCTAAGTTGTTTGTTTGTTTGTTTGTCTTTGCCATCACAGCAACAGACATGAAACTATGATACTACTAGCCTTCTGACTCAGGCACTGCATCTAAACTGTTTCAAATTTAAGGGTAAAGCATTATGAAAATAAGCTCACTTCTGGTATTAGACCAAAGAATATAAAAATGTTTCTTCCATTCTCTCCCACAATGGGCAACCAACATCTCTTACGTCCAGGTTTAACTGTGCCAAGGTGAAGAGAAGTTAAGCACATACCATATGCCATCCCACTGCAGTCTCTAGGCCCACCTAGATACTTATTTACCAGAAGTTAAGTTTTGCTCACGTGGCATGGAAATCACGTCATGGATCATTATGTTCCCTCCTTGTGATGGCCAAGTTTATGTAGCAATTTGAATAGCTTGCAGGAGGCTCAGATACTCAAACATTATTCATAGGGCTTATGTGAAGGTGTTTTTAAATGAAATTAACACTTTCAGTTGGCTGAAAAGCAGCAATATTACTCTGCAGCCCAAACAAATGAGGGCATGAATTGAACAAAAAGGCTATTCTCTCTCAAGTCAGGGGGTGCTTTAACTCCTTCTACCCAAATGTCTAAGATGGGATACCTGTCTCTCCTGCCTGCTGGGTTGGAACTAAACCATCAGCTCCCCTTGGGACTAGAACTATACTCGGTGCTCTCCTAGATTTCACACTGGCTCATGGAAGAGCTTGGGACTGCTTAGCTATCACTGCACAGGCCAATGTCTCATGACAGGTCTCTTTCTGTATGATCTGATTGGTTCTGTCTGTCTGAAGTATGCCAATTCCTTAGCATAAACTAACTTGGAAGTCTGAGGTGCCTATTACAGAACACTAAAATTTGAGTAGGTCAAGTCTGGGAAACAGCAAAACAGCCTCATGTCCTCTTAGAAACTATAGAAAGTTAAAGTAATGTGGTCTATATGTTACACTGTGCATCAGAGGGAGATCTCTGATCTTTGTTTCCATATTGTGTAAAATTAATTTCTAGTTCTAGTTCTTCAACTATAACTGAAAACACAACTGTCTGTCTTGACATCTCTGAACACAGTGAATAGCTGGACTCTTCTGAGCTATCAAAATCTTTTCTGAGATAACTGATAATATTTTACTCAAAAACTACAACTTCAGTACAGGTTAATTCAGGTGAGTGATCAAATAAGCGTAACAGAATTCTCCTCCAGACTCAAAGCCTTTGTGTACTTTCAGATTATATTTTTATAGTCTAACCACAATAAACAGATCACGCCCTCTGAATAAACACCCCCTATGAAGACATAGCATAAGAAGATATAAGAAAACATTTTTCATTTTCTTTAAACTATTTAAATTGTGTGCATACATGTGTGTGTGCACATACACATGAGCACACATTTTGGGAGTATTGAGGACTGAACTTAGGTCCTTATACATACAAAGCAAGTGCTCTACATTAAGCAATATCCCTGTCCTCTTTTTTTTTTTTTTATTTTAAAATGGAGTCTCACTAAGTGGTCTAGGCTGGCCTTGAACATACTATGAAGCCCAGGTAAACCTTTTAAATTGTGATGATCCTGCATCAGCCTCCCAAATAGCTGGGACTACAGGAGCTATGTCACAGGTCTGAACCATGCCTCTGACCACAAGCTTTAGGGGCAGGCTATTAGTTCAGCAGCCACTCCCCCATCTCTTTCTTTCTCCTCCCCAACGTCTTCATCCTCTAACAAAGTACAAAAGCATCTTTAACCCCACACACCCCCAATTCAGACTGTGAGTTATCAAAAACTGGGGAAGGACTCCTCACCAGACTATAGTGATCTTGTTCTCATTATTCTGAAGTATGAAACGCTGATGTCACCCTATAAATGGAGCTACTGCAGACCTCCAGGCCCTTTCTGGTGCACCAGCAGCTGATTCATGTCCCCACCGTGTCCTTGGAGACGCTGAAGCTCAGTGACATGCTCCACAGTCTCCTTTATTCCATTTGAAACACATACAGAGTATGTGTATGTGTATTGCTAGAATTTAAAACTCAGTCGACCTTTCCCAAACTAAGTTGTTTTGGGCATGATTACATTGATCAGATTGATTCCAAGTATAGCTACAACTGAACAAAACAGGAAAAGGTTCAGACATGAAAAATGGGCTTTACAAACTAAAACAAAGACAACATACAATTTTAATTCCTAAATAACAATGAATTACCAAAACTGTGTACTGGTATACAAGCAGTAATAAAATAATCCTATTTTTTATGAAGGAATTTATTGTATTTTTGAAGAAAATTATTATAAGGTTCCTAGTATGAAAGACAATAAACAGTGAGTTGAGGGTCATTAGAAACATCTCAGTAGTAAAAACCTCCCGCACCTGTCTTCCCCATCTATATGCTGTTCAATTTAATGGCACAGAGGAACCAAAATCAGATTTCTACCAACCCAAGACTAAGTAAGACATGCCATGATGTTTTTTTAGGGAAACCGAGCTAATAATAATAATAAGAAGAAGAAGAAAATCAAGGTGTAGAGTGATACGCCATTTTTCCTTCCCACTTGACTTGCTCTCTGATGATCAAGACAAAACAGCATCAGAGTCTTAGACTCATGAACTAGTCTTACCTTGCTAATGGGGCCAAGAGTAGGAACTTGTACTCCTGTACAATTAAGAAAAAAAGACTTTACATAACAGGACCTTAGGGCTCTGGCTTCTCTGTATTTTCAGTGAAATCCACTAATGGTAGGATAGAGATTGGAGGAGGAGGTAGAGACATCCATTACAAGACAACATGACAGTAGAACCCTACCTAGACTTTAAAGAATTGATTCTATTCAGGCAGGAGCAAACTGACATAATTAAGCTTCACACTTATAAAACTATCACTCAATTCAGGAACAAGCGGCATTTGGTTGTTGATACAATTCCATCTGTAAGTCCTAACTTTAAATTTAGAGAAGAAATACACTCACTGCATTAATATTATGGGTTGGGGTTTCTTACATGATTCCTAAATCCATCGACTATTTAGTTTTGATACAATTTACAGCTATGATAGCAGGACTAACACAGGCAGCCCTGGTTCAGGTATGGTCTTTAGTTTCAGAAAGTCCATCGGTCTTGTAGCTGGCTGTCATTGCTAAATCTGTTGCTTGCAGAGGCCTCAGAGCTCTGGGTTTGCCGAGTAGAGTCCTCACCATTTAAGCTCTTCCTACATACTGGGCATGTGTCATGCTGAAACAAAATGATATCAATCCATGTAAACAGCATGACCTGAGAAGCCAGAATAGCAGACACTTAAGAAACCCCAAAATCAAGCTGGGGAGATGGCTCAGTCAGTAAAATGTTTACAAACAAATGCAAAACCCATGTAAAATGCCAGTGACAGATGTTTGTAATCCTGTCAATAAGGAGGCAGACACACAGATCCCTGGGGTTTGTGGCCACCCAGGGTAGTCTGATCTGTTTAGTTCAAGGTCAACCAACCAGAGACACTGTCTCAAGAATCAAAGTGAACAGTTCTTAAGGAAAAATATCTAAGGTTGACCTCTGCCTCCCCATGCACACACACATGCCTGTGTACCCACATGCCACCTCATCCCCAATTATGATGTAAGGAACCTGCCTATGAGCTGACAACTAAGAAGGTATCATACCATGGTATTTCATGGATAGAATTTTTAGGCAGAATGGACAGAATTCTAAGCCAAGAAGTTAATAAAAGCTAACACATTAACAGCAAACAAAAGTAACTGCTAACAGTGACCTCAATGATGACATAAAGTTAACTATCAACCATTTCTTCATGTAGTCTGGGTGAGACTAAGCAAGCTCTTTCTTTAAAGGGACAGAGAGGGGGTTGGAGAGATGCTCAACAGTTACAAGCACGTACCGCTCTTGCAGAAGAATGAGCTCCGTTCCCAGCACCCATGCGTTTCAACGGCCTATAACCACAGTTCCAAAAAATCTAACGCCCTCTTCTGGCCTCCAAGAGTATCTGTACTCATGTGTGCATACCCATTGCAACCACACACAGATGCATGATTAGAGAATAAAAATTAAGCCTTTAAAGGTTTTAGAGAGTAAGCGTTCTAGGCTCTCTAGGTTACTCAATACCAATTCTGTGACAACTTTCCAACTGCCCAGGCAACACAGGAATAATCACAATTGGCTAACTATGCTTCAGAGTCCCTTTATTTACAAAAGCTGCTGGAGTGTCCATGGTGGTCTGTGTGCACAGCCCACTGTCCTGTGGAGTGTCATGGCGGTCTGTGTGCACAGCCCACTGTCCTGTGGAGTGTCATGGTGGTCTGTGTGCACAGCCCACTGTCCTGTGGAGTGTCGTGGTGGTCTGTGTGCACAGCCCACTGTCCTGTGGAGTGTCATGGTGGTCTGTGTGCTACAGTTCACTGTCCTGTGGTTAGAAGCACTACAACAGAACAACAGGATAATAACTAAACACAACAATGTCAGAAGCACTTGGGCTGTTCGGGAGGCTAAAATCTCATCTACTTGCTCTCTGAACTGCAACTAAATCTCTACTCTGAAGCAGCCTCCCCCAGCTCGCCTGCCAACTGTGCTGTCCTGGGTACAGCTGGCTGTACTCACCAGTTCTAGCCATGGCACGATGCAGCTGCTGTGGAAGAAGTGGTTGCAGGGTAACTGCCGGACTTTCTCCTCAACTGTGTAATCCTCCTTGCACACTGGACATTCTAAACCCGTATCTGTTGGAGGAAGATGTCCGATTTTAAAGTAACAAGCAAAAGGAAGAAAGGAAAACAACCAAGAGCCAGGCATGTGGTTCAGGCCTACAACCTCAGCATAGGGGAGGCAGAAGCACAGATGATCAAGGCTAACCTGAGCTACAAAGTCTACCTCATAAAGAAACAAAAAAAGAACAAAACCAAACCAGATGTCTCTAACAACCCAAGAAACGCAGGTGTCCCCCCACCATACACACCAAGTTAGAAGAATTAGCAGAGCTGGCTCAGTGAGGTACCAAGCCTGATGACCTAAGTTTAGCCCCTGGCACCCACATGATGGGAGAAGAAAATCAACTCCCACAGTTATCTCACCTCCACACGTGCACTGTGGTACATGTGCCCACATACATAAAATAAATGGATTTTTTAAATTAATAAATAGGAAAGCAGGGCTGGAGAGATGGCTCAGTGGTTAAGAGCACTGATTAGTCTTCCAGAGGTCCTGAGTTCAATTCTCAGCAACCATATAATGACTCACAACCATCTATCATGGGATCTGATGCCCTCTTCTGATATGCAGACTTACTTGCAGAAAAAGTATTCAAATACATTAAACAAACAAACAAACAAACAAAGAAATCTCAAAAAATGCCTAACCAAACAAAACAAACCACAAAAAAAATAAAAAATAAAAAACCAGGTAAGCAGAAACTTATTTGTCTATTAAATAAACAAGGAAAGCATCTTCCCAAATGTGTGACAGCCTCTGTCATCCAGGTCCTGCCTAGAAAACAGAGGCAACCTGTCCACCATCTGAGGGACTGAGCACCCTTAGTGGTGTCTACTCAGTGCCATAACTACCTGTCTCCTGTTTTTTTCCTTACTATGCTCTCTTTAGTGTAGCTATCCCAAGGTCCTCTGAAGTTGTTAAAGGCTATACCAGGAGGTGGTACTTCAAAACTACAGACAAGTGCACTCAGGACTCCAGATCAATCAACAGAAGCCTTTCACCGCAGAGAAGATGGCTTCTGTAGGAAGAGCTCTAAGTGGCAAATTCTGAATTACAGAAATTTGGTAAATAGTATAATGGCTGAGCTATGCTCCAGGCCCTGATGATGATCACAGAGGAAGCATCTGGAGGAAAACTGCCCCTTAAAGATTCTTCCTCCCTTCCCATCCCACCTCTCATCCTAGTTCCAGCTCTTACTCTCCCTGCCACCCTTCCAGGCAGCATCCCACCTCTAACTCTTTAACAATCCAAATACACACAAAACTTCACCACCAGCTGATTCCCCCTAATACCAACTTCAAGACAATCCCACTCATTTCTGCTTGGACTCTCAGCTAGCACCTCAGAATCAATAAATCCAGAATTAAAACTGTCACAACATCTCCTCATCAGGCCCAGGGCCAGTTCATGATTTGCCGTCACCTGATGGCAGCAGTGCTGCCTTTATAAAGCTCTGGAACCTTCCAATCATCTTTAATAATCCTTGCCTCCTCCATCTATGTAATCAATAATAAAACTAACTCTTTTCAAAATTGAGCTTTTCTTCCTTTCTCCCTCCCTCCTTCCCTTCATCCCTCTCTCCCTCCCTCCCTCCCCCTCCTTCCTTCCCTCCTCCCCCCCCTCCCCCTCCTTTTCTCCCTTTCTTCCTCCTTCCCTCCCCCCCCCCTTTCTTTCTTTCTGGCATCTCACAATGTAGCCCTGGCTAGCCTAGAACTCATTATGTAGACTAGGCTGGCCTAGAACTCAAGAGATCTTCCTGTCTCTGTCTTGACAGTGCTGGGATTAAAGCTGTGTGCCTCCATGACAATCCAAAAACCACCACTCTAAACCTATCTTCCTCTCTGTCAGCACTGCACCCATCACAAGAACCTCATCTGGACTCCAGCAACCGTCTCCCCAACTCCTGCTTCTGCTCTCTCTTCTCACTGCTTCTAACATGGTATTTCCAGGAGAACCTTCCTAAAGATCTTCCATCTGCGGGCCCCTTTCAGAAGGGTGAGGTCACTGAAGAACGCCAGAGGGGCTGTGCTATTTGAGTCAGATATAAACTGTTCTTTTATTAGATCTGGAATGGACTCTGACTTGAGGATCAAAGAGACAGTCTGACCAGACAGGGAAGGGAAGGGTTTGTTTAGAAAACCTTCAAATTGCAAGACACATTTCAAGTTTAGGTGGTGAAAAAAAGTTTTCAAACCATGTGTCTATTTACCTGACTAGACCTTACATGTGAAACGAGTCCCTAGGCTCATATCTGTCCTCTTCTCCTCCCTATGGGATCATGGGCCCAATACTATTTTCAACAGTTTTTTAATTACTTAGTGAGTTTTGTTCCAATAGTAAGTCCTTGTACTAATTATAATCAAGTTTTGTACAAACAACTATCTATTTCTTGTGGGACCTAGAAAGCAAGCATGCTAACTAGGCCCTCCATAGCAGGTAGCCAGACAGAAATATTAGGGAACCATACCTTTAGAAGAGAAATGCATTGAATGTTCAATCAGATGTCATAGGAAGACAGAACAAATGTGAAAGTAAACTTACTGACTTGTTCCTGAGTTACTGTCACTGTTGGGAGAGACGTGATCTTCTCCTTGTCAGCTGGAGGGGGACCTGTGTTTTCCAGCTGTCCCAGAAGCTACAAAAGAAGAGGCAGCAATATTCATTATCTGGTAACTGGGGAGAGCCTTTCCAGCTGAGAATAGACAGCACAGGCATTAAGAATGTTTGCTGCCACTCCAGTGTCATTCCCTTCCCCACATCCTGCCTTTCTGTGTTTATAACACCTGTGTGAATGAATTACGATTTGAGAAAAAATAAATTATTAAAAAAAAAAGATACATTGTATCTGGGCCAAAAAAAAAAAAGGGAATGTTTGCTGCTCTTAACTTCTGCAGGACTCCCTCTGGGCACTGGAACACTCACAGCTGCTTTACAGTGTCAGAGGGACAGCAGTGTAAACCATGAGTATAAGAAAGACTAGAGACTGAAAAGCCCACCCTTGAGCATAAAGCAGTTAAATTTAAGATACCAAAAGAGTTGTGATGTCCTGGATAAAATTACAACTTAATAAAAACCAAGAGTAAACTGGTTCAAAATTTTATTCAGTCAGAAGGAAGGCATGAAAGTATGCAAAGCAGCAAAAAGTCAAGAGATGGCTATATTACTGTCTATGAGAAGACTCAGAATAAACACCATGCTTTCTATTCTCAGCAGTCCACAGAGAAATGAAAACTAGTCAAGTTAAAATGAGCGTAAACAAGTGGAAGCAATCATACAGCATGGGAAGCTCTGGTCTCTGTTTCCTTCCTCTACTTTGCTTGGTCTGGCAGAAACCCCTGCTTCAACACAGGAGACCCTATTCTTCCGTGAAGCGTCTGCTCCTCATAGGACTGAACAAAAGGACAAATTACAATGAACTGCTTGTTACAGGGTAAGTATTTACTTCTTCCAGAGGTAAAGTCATTCTCTAGAAATCCCAGGATGTCTAGTAGGAACATGGAAACTACACTAGGCCCATAGCCCATCCATCCACTTAGTAAAAAGAGAAACCCAAAAGCTCACACTATTGGTGAGAGCAGAGTGATTGACATTTCAGAAAGTAGCAGAAGGAATGCAGGAGTCTGTGGAATCATGAGACACATCAAACAGACACCCTCTCAAAAGGCAGCTCCTCACCTGAGTTACAATGGCATCAAGCCCTGTCTGACCCCAGGCATAGTCCCCAGGGTTGGAGTGCAGCATCCCGCTCCTATACATGAGATGAGACAGACAGGATTAGGTGGGGTGATCAGGCTGGCTCTCGGCCATATACCACAGTGGGGATCTGGCAGTGGAGCACGCTCCCTCAGAGCTGTAAGTCACTAGTCCTCTACAATCCAGAGGCAGACAAAGTCTCTGTATTTGAAAAGTCAAGCAGATTATCTAGAGATATTCTTTTATTCTCAATACTTTTTATCTAACTGGGACAAAATGTGATGCCCTCTAACTATTACAGGACACCCTGTGGGTTAAAAAAAAAAAAAAGTTTGTGTTTTGGCTGGCCCCAATCTATAGCAGACTTCCCTTGTTCTAAGAGGCCACACGTGCCCTGCACAGTAAGGACTTTTGGTAAAAAAGCAGCCACAGCAGTTCCTGTGAATTATGGCTCAGAACATTTACAAAGGGTCTTGGCTGGACTTCTTTCCTGGTGCAGCATCCTGGGTGACGGGCACAGGTTCTAGCTAGACCACACCTAAAGTAACCAGAGGCTGTATAAAGTGGAGCAAATGCAGGGAAGAACTGGACAGAGAGCCCTTCTGCAGCAATGTTAGAAATCACAAATGACCGCAGGAACAGCGGGCTCTAGGAAGACACTGTCTGCGAGCTCTACCATGCCTAAGCGTCAGTGATACTCAACTACGTATGTCTCTGTTTGTTTTGAGAAACTTTCTTACTTTGAGGAAAAAAAAGGTAAAATAATATGTTCTCAACTTCAGGAATTCTTCCTGTGTGGTCTGTAAGAAAAACTTGCAAAACAGATCTGAAGACGGGCAGGGACCATCATTCCCCACCCAATATAACTCAGACCAAGACAGAAAACAACCAGGCATGTCGAGCAATATCTTAGGGGACCAGGCCAGCTGTCCTGATCATCAACAAGGAAAAGTGAGTTCTGACTGAGTTTGGGTTTGGTTAAAAAAAACGTAATTCACCATCCCAGGCATCTCCATACTCACCTCTGCAGGCTCTTCTTTCTCTATGTACAGAAATGATAGCACCTAAAGTGGTACTACTCAGGCAATGCAATGTAGATACAGAACGGTCACTTACCAAGAAAAGGGGTGTGGGTATCCAGGCATGGCAGAATTTGCAAAAAATCCTGCAAAGATCTGTTGTATTATTCTGTTAAAAGACAGGAAAAGTGAGATAAAACAGCACACAAAGGTATTCTACAGACAATCATGGCTGACTAGTCAACAGTCAATGCTCTAAACCACAACAGTTTCCACTGCTTGCTATATAAAAGACAGAACATAAATCAGTCCACTCACTACCTATGGACATGTGTTCACTACTGCTCTTTGTGAGATCTGCCACTTTTAGACTAACACAATTTTTTAAAATTAGGTTAGAAAAATGACCCGATGTTATGATATGGTTTTCAAAATACTTCCTTGGATCTTTGACACCAGGGTGAGAAAGAATCCAAATGATGCTGCCCCAGTGGAATTCCAGACCCATTTCCTTTTTAAAAAGGGGATTAAGCTAATCAACATAACTTTGATTATGTTGATTATTAGCCAATATCAGACTATAGGACGAATACATCTACAAATTACCCAGTACTTCTCTCCCTTCAAACTCGGCTGGACTTAGTGATTCACTTGTTCTAGATTTTCTTTCCTTCTACCTCTCTCCATATTGGATCATCTACTCTAAAAGAGCTGCCAAGTCACGGGGACAGGAAAAAAGCTCTATGAAGAGACCCATATATGGTAAGCAAACTAAGGCCTCCTGCTACTTCTCAAGTGAAAGAGCTATCTTGGAAGCAAATCTTCCATGTCCAGTTCAAGTATTCAAATGACTACCCCCACAGTAGGTATGCTAACTATCACCTAACTGGAACCCTTTGCCAGAACCACCTAGCTAAGCTATTCCTCAATGCCAGAGATGCAGAAAAAAGTGAGACAGTAAATGTCAGCTGGGGTAACTCACAAAAGCTCCTCCTGCTTACCAGGAGCTTGAAGAGTCAATTACCACACATTGGTGAACTGATAAGCAGGTAGCAGGTGAGAAAGCAGCCTCGTCTCCTGAAGTTCTGCAGCCAGCCTGTTAAAAATGCGGAGTCTGCCAGGGTCATCTCCTTAACAGGGGCTCATTCTTCATTCTATGTTCCTTACCCTCTAGAAGTTAGAAGTCTGCTCAGTTTTATCAGAAGTACCAAAGAGAGACAGACTGCTCAGAGTGGTTTCAGTAAATTTTGTTCAGAAATTACTCTCAGCCAATATTCACACCATTTGTACTGACTTTTCTGTTACAGTTCTTGTAGTTACATAGCTTCTTATTAAAGGTAAATGTTAAAAGTGTATGAGGGGAGGTAGATGTATTTGCACTTTCAGCAAGTCTACAGAAGAGCAGAATGAACCCACAAATGTAGAGGGGAGTCCCACACTGAGCCCTCGGGAAACTCCACACAGTTCCATGTTGTACCCCTGCTCATTCTCCCAGGGCTCTTCTCTGAGTTCTGTTTTCCCTTTTTCTTCTCTTTCTGTTATGTTTTGTTTTTCCTTGAGGCAAGATCTCATTGTGTAGCACCAGCTGGACTGATACTTGCTATGGAATACAAGGGGCTTCAAACTCACAGCAATTCCCCTGCCTTATCTTCTTGAGTGCTGGAAACACAGGTATAGGTAGCCATGCCAAGAAATTCTATTTTCTATCTTGACTTCTTCTTCTTACATCCAACTTTCTAAATTAAAATACCACAAACAGGCAATAACTTCCATATTTTGTTTCCAGCCAAATATGCTGTCTGCTCACTACCTGCACTTGACACCTCCATTTGAATGTGTAACAAACACGTCACATTCACTATGTCCCAAATTAAATAATCTCCAATTTTTTCTTCCAAACTGTTCTTCCTAGTGCTTTCCATTTAACGGTGTCCTCACTTTTCTAGCTGCTCAGGTCAGCAACCTTGATGGCTGTCCTCCTTCTCTCTGTCCCTGTTACATGCTGCAGCCCATACTCAACGTTACACTCGAGCAACTCTCTAGTACTCTCATCTACGTCACTGGCGCTTCTAGCTTAGGTTAAGGCAGTGACTTCTTAAACGGCTCTCCACCTCCCCCCCCCCCCCCGACCTCAGTCCTCTGCTCTGTTCTCCACACAGTAGATACACATAAGTTAAAAGTGTCCACTGGAGGAGCAAAAGCCCTTAGATTCTCTGCATGTTTGAATCCCTGCCTTCCCAGACACACTCCAGAAACTTCCCTGAGACTCCATCTCCTCATACCCACCTCACTTAACTCTGTTCCACATCGGTGTGTCATGGAGGCACACTCTAGCTCCATCCTCCACTTCCTTTGTCTATTCACACACTTATTTAACCTTTTCAGTGAGGCCTTTGCTGAGTCCTTCTGGAACCTCTGTCTCCCACATCCCTTCTCTCCACTCCCGGCGCACTACCTCGCACTCAGCACTGCACAACACTCAGCACTTTACTTTTCCTCGTTAGTACTTAAAATCCACAAAAAGACACTTTTCACTACTGCACTCATTATTTTGTGTACAACACCTAAAAGAGCCACTGGGACAGAGGAAAAGCAATGTTTGTTGGATAAATTAAGAGAACCCCTAGATGGGGCCAAAGTGGATGTATATTAAGAGATATGTTCATATAAAATAGTAATAAAACATGTATATGATTGAGCCAATTTCAACTACATACATTGTGTATCTATATTTAAAAGTTTGTAAGTTACATATCAAAGTGTAACTGGGGCTGCTTCTTTGTAATGACGACCTTGAACTCAGAGATCTCCTTGCCTTGTCTCCTGGGATTCATAGCCACTATGCCTCAAGATCTCCACGCCAAGATCCAGGTCAGAAACTTGTAACTCCCAGCCTCAAGATCAGGATCACAGGTAAGCCTTCCAATTCTGGATTGTAGTTCATTCCAGATATAGCCAACTTGACAACCAGGAATAGCCACTACACTGTCTTTTACTCCATTTAAAAAGAAAACACTAACATTTTTAAAAGGGGGAAAGTTAACAACCAATGTCAATTCTCAAAACCTAAGTTGTGATTGGTATCAGGAAACTATGATGCTAAAATTTAGGGATGACGTCTTTAAAACATACTGTGTAGGTAGAAGAAAGCCTTCTAAGATGCAGGCTAACAATCAAAGGCCTTTCTGGGCACAGATGTACCTTACTTAATGGAGTGCTTGCCTTGCTTGCACAAAGCATGGGACATGCAGCTGGGAGCCTGACAAGCAGATTTTAAAAAGTTACACTGCTACTCAAATGAACAGAAGTTGTTACGAGGAAGAAGCCACGGTAAAAATAGATAATTAAAAATTAATTTGATATAATCTATAAAACAAAATTGTAATGTACTTTCAAAACAGGTAACACAACCACTATGGCAACATACAGAATAGGAAGACTGCTTTGTGGGTAGAGAAATATGTCCCAACAATAGTCTGAGTTTCATTTACACTTCCATGAAGACAAAAGACACTAGACTAAAAGTTCTCAAGTTCTACTTCCTAACATGCTGGCATATCTTTAAAACACTGTAATCTCACCAAATGCAAATATTTTTATTGTTGTTATTACCTTGGCTCCAATACTAATCATTTCAGACAGGGTTTCTTGGTGATGTCACTGTTTGCCACTTGGCTAGACGGCTGTAGGGATCCTCCTGTCTACACTATCTTCCCCCAAGGTTACAGACAACTGTGACCACACTGGGCTGCTTTGACATACGTGCTCAGGAGCCACACTCAGGTCCTCACACTTGTCAGGAAGGTACTTTACCAACGAAGCTGCCTCAGGATGCCCCTTTCTTAGTTAATTGTTTTGATTTCAGATAGTATTCCATTATGGAGCCTTCACTGCCTTAGAATTTAAAATGTAGACTAGACTGACCTCAAACTTACAGCAAACCAGGTGCTGGAGTCAAATGCATCACCACACCCAGCTATAACTTCTTTTCATTTTTTTTTTCTTTTTTTTTTTTTTTTTTTTTTTTTCGAGACAGGGTTTCTCTGTATAGCCCGGGCTGTCCTGGAACTCACTCTGTAGACCAGGCTGGCCTCGAACTCAGAAATCCGCCTGCCTCTGCCTCCCAAGTGCTGGGATTAAAGGCGTGCGCCACCACTGCCCGGCACTTCTTTTCATTTTAAATGAAATACAGCTAAAAACATTTTTGTTGCCTATCATTTTGTTACTTAGTTGAACTCTTTAATCTATCATACTTTTTTATTTTATTCTTTTGAATTTTCCAGATAAATAGCCATAGTATCTATAAAGATGGACTGTATTTTTCATGCTTATGCCTATTTCTATTTTAAACTGAATGTGTTTATTTTTCTGTGTATGAGTATTTTGGCTGCACGGATGTCTGTGTATGCAGTGCAAAAACCAGGAGAGGGCATCAGATCCTCTGGACCTGGAGTTATAGCCAAGTCATCTTGTGGGCACTGGGGACTGCACCTGAGCCACTAGAGGAGCAGCCAGTGTTCTTAACTTCTGAGCCACCATCTCTGCAGCCTTGCACTGACTCTTAGCTTTCGAAAGAGGCTTAGCAGTACTCCATTCTTCCTGACTTTAGTAAGTGTTCCAAGTCTTTCTAAAGCAATTATGCTTTTGGTTTCCAAAATGACTTATCTTGATTATCAATTTTACGGGATCTAGAATCACTATGGAAGCAAAGCTCTGGGTTCAGGATTTTCTAGGATGGGTTGATTTAGTTGAGGGAGAAGATCCATCGTAGCCAAGGGTGGCAAACTCCATGAGCTGATGGCATGGGCTGACTAGAGGAGAGAGGACTGAGCAGCTGCTCTCATCTCTGCATCCACCTGCAGATGCAGTGCCGCTGTAACCTCATGCTGTGCCTGATTCCCACCATGATACACTGTCCGGTGAACTGGGAGCTAAAGTAAACCTTTTCTCCCTTAATTGTTTTTGCCAAATATTTTGTCCCAGAAATGTATAAAATAACTAACACAGTTATATAGTACAATATATACACTGTTATTTTTTAAAAGATTTATTTATTTGTTATTTATATGAGTACATTGTAGCTGTCTTCAAACACAAGAAGAGGGCATCAGATCCCATTACAGATGGTTGTGAGCTACCATGTGGTTGCTGGGAATTGAACTCAAGATCTCTAGAAGAGCAGTCAGTGTTCTTAACCACTGAGCCATCTCTCTGGCCCATACACTATTATTTTTAAAAGGAAGTTTTGTTTTCAGGGTTTGGTGGCTCACCCCTACAATCTAGTACCAGGGAGGCTGAGGCAGGACAACTGAAAGGTTTTGAGGCCAGTCTGAGCTACAAATTTATGTCCAGGAAAGACATAAAAAACATATTATGATATGTCAACTACCATGGTAGGAATAATGGTCCCTTTCTTCTTGGAACTTAAGTCTAATAGGAAGAAAGATATTAATAACCTTGTGTTTTAATAAGCAATAGAAAATGTGTTTCATTCATAGATCTAGAGGCTGGGGAGGAAGTCAATAGAGCACATCCCCTTCATCCTCCCACCCTGCCGTCCTCAGCATCAGCCACACCTTCCATCCATAGAGGATGGGTTGCAGCAGCTGTAAGTATAATATCTTTACAAAGTAAAAAGCTAGTATTCTCCTTGGATATTTATAAAAGAATATGTGTGTGTGTTGGGAGATGTATCCCATATTCCTTACAGCAGACTTTCAGACTTTTAGAGTCCCAATAGTGAAAAGTGGGTTCCATACCAATTCCCTATGTCAAGAACCCTCAGAAAATAATCTGGTATTTTCGGGTCATAATTCAAAGATAGTCTCCATTTAGTAAGAAAAGTAAGAGGGGAAAAAAAAACTGCTACTGACTATATGGTCCACATTTGGGCATATAAAAACATGCAGTCTCACTTCACAATACAACATCTAAAATTGAAATAAATTGAAAACAGGTGGGTCTATTTAAAGATATATAATAGTGATTATATATAGGAAAGAATTCATCAAGAAATAATTTAAATGACAAAACTTACAAAATAGAGAGTCTAAATCTAAACTTACAACACCTACAATGAAAATACAATAAAAATCCTCAGAAGATTGCTTGCTATACACTGAAAAACTAATGACTATACAGTACAACTCACCTGATATATGCTTGTTTTGTTTTGTTTTGTTTTGTTTTGTTTTGTTTTGTTTTGTTTTGAGAAAGGGTTTCTCTGTGTAGTCCTGGCTGTCCCAGAACTCACTCTGTAGACCAGGCTGGCCTCAAACTCAGAAATCTGCCTGTCTCTGCCTCCCAAGTGTTGGGATTAAAGGCGTGCGCCACCACCGCCCGGCTTGATATATGCTTTTTATTGTTGTTTAGTTTGTTGTTTCAGCTAAAGGCTCATGGAGCCTGGACTGGCTTCAAACTCACTAGAGAGCTGAAGCCAGCTTGAATTTCTGATTCTCCCAAATGCTGGGGTTACAAGCATGTGCCACCAAACCCAGTTCACACATGCCATTGAGTCTATTGTAAGGGATGAGCAGACACTGCAGCTGGCTAATCATAAATCATTCTCCACACCACTCTCCTTGCCACCTCACAATAAAGGATACAAAGTTAACTCTATTCTCATCTAGCTTTCCTCACATCTGTGGACAGGAAACATTAGGACACAGTGCTCAGTAAAGGAAATATTCTGAGCACAGAGTAAGAGGCAGTAGAAAAAGATTTAACAAAAATGTAGTATAAAGCAGGCTTGGTGCCATGCACCTAGCAACTGGGAGCCTAAATCAGGAGGATCTGGAATTCAAAACCAGCCTGAGCTACCTGGTAGATGTAAATCGCCTATAAAATGGTTTTAAGATGGAGGGTAGGAGAGGGGACACGCTACAGCAATTTCATATTAAGCCTGCAGTTCTCATCTCTTTAAATCTTTAAATCCAGATCTTTGCATTCTGAAGTGGTTTGAATAAGAATGGGCTCCAACTGTTGGAAGTACTTGGAAGCATTCGGAGGTGTGCCCTCGTTGGAAGAATCACTAGGGGCGGGTTTAGGAGTTTCAAAAGCCCAAGACATCCCATTGTACCCTCTCCCTGCCTCCTCCCCATGGATTGAGATTTGAGTTAGTTCCTCAGCTCTGGCCAAGCTCTCTGCTGCTTGCTGCCACACTGTTCTGCCACAATGGACTCCTAGCCCTCTGAAACCACATGCACAGTTCTGAGCTTTTGTTCATAAGCTGCCTGGTCATGCTGCTTTGTCATAGCAACAGAAAAGTGACTAAGACAGATCCCAATGTTATAGAATACACTTGCCTTACCTCCTGGTATCTTCCAATTTTTTTTCTTTTCTTTTTATCTATTTATTTTCTTTTTTATTTTGGAGACATGGTCCTGGAACTCATTCTGTAGACCAGAGTGGCTTTCCAAAACTCCATCTACCTCTGCCTCCCCAGGCCTGGGAATAAAGGTGTATACTACCACATTCTGTTTTCTGAGGTATGATCTCAGTATTTAGCCCAGGTTGGTCTTGAACTCATGCTCTTTGCAGCCTGCCAAATGCTTATAAGCACAAAGTATCAAACTTAGCCTTTTCTAAAATTTGATAAATCTCCCCTAAGATATTAATAAACAAATGCTACAGAAGTGTATTAGACATACCACTCTCTATTTTATCACCAACCCTTAAATGATAACTCTTGAGTATGACATTCAATTTTGCTTCATTTCCATCCTGTTTATATTTCTGTCTTGTCCACAACAGTCTGAGGACTTTATAAAGATTAGATTTTGCCAGTAACAATCTAAACAGCCCTTAAGAACTCAAAATAACAACTCACCCTTCAATAGCTGGTGACCTGTCGGGACGGGTACTTCCCCGAGACCTGTATCTTCTTGTCATTGGCAACCTTGGAGGCCGACTTGGTCCCCAAAAGTCAGTGTGAGTTTGGTGACCTCTCTCATTGGCTCTATTATCTTGGTCCAGTGGATTGCTACTTAGAAATGGTCTAAAATCTTGTAAAAACATTGTGTGATCCAGATGGTCCCAAAGCTAGTAAAAAAAAAAAAAAAAAAAAGCACATTAGCCTAGAATATGGGAGGCTCGATCCCTTGCACTGGTTGACTGTAAACAAACAAATTTAAAAAGTTTAAAACTTTCACATACATACATACATACATTCATACATACATACACACATACATATGCATATATGAAAGCAAACAAATGCCTAGTTCTTTTCCTTAACAGTTACCTAATATCCACATCCACATGCCTTTGCACAGTCTCTCCTCCAGAAATACACTATGAGCTAAAGGCTAGCACCGATGTCCACCCCAAGCATAACTAACAGTTCAAATCAATGTTATACTCTATGCTTTGTCACAAGTGGCATCTGCATTCCCAACAAAACAAATATATTTCTCCACTTGTAAAGAACACTTCATCACTATGAAGTAGAGATAGATGTCTTTAAAATATGTCTCTTGACTTGGCACTGGCATCAAAGACAGGCTGGGTCAAAACTATGCCAAAGCAGTGCAGCTATGTCTAATAAGAGCCTCTGTTGCCGGGCGGTGGTGGCGCACGCCTTTAATCCCGGCACTTGGGAGGCAGAGGCAGGCGGATTTCTGAGTTTGAGGCCAGCCTGGTCTACAGAGTGAGTTCCAGGACAGCGAGGGCTACACAAAGAAACCCTGTCTCGAAAACAAAACAAAAAACAAAACAAAACAAAAAAAAAAATAGCCTCCATGGGCTGGTGAGATGGCTCAGTGGTTAAGAGCACTGACTAGTCTTTCAGAGGTCATGAGTTCAAATCCCAGCAACCACATGGTGGCTCACAACCATCCATAATGAGATCTGATGCCCTCTTATGGGGTGTCTGAAGACAGCTACAATGTATTTACATACAATAAATAAATTTAAAAATAAAAAAAATTGCCTCCAGCCGGGCGGTGGTGGCGCACGCCTTTAATCCCAGAACTTGGGAGGCAGAGGCAGGCGGATTTCTGAGTTCGAGGCCAGCCTGGTCTACAGAGTGAGTTCCAGGACAGCTAGGACTACACAGAGAAACCCTGTCTCGAAAAAAACAAAAACAACAACAACAACAAAAAAATAGCCTCCATTGTACACATTTTCATTGTCAATATGGGAGGGAAAGAAACTGGGTGTGGGAGAATCAGTAAGCAAAGGGGAAAAGGAAATTAACTTTTTAAAAAGATGATTTTTTTTAACTCTGTGTGTCTCTGTGAGTAGTTTTACACATATGAATGCAGTGCTCAAGGAAGTCGGAAGAGGCACAGGATCCCCTGGAGCTAAGGTTACAGACGGTTAGGAGCCACAGAACATGCACGGGTGCTGGAAAGCCCACACCCATCCTCTGCAAGAGCATCCAGTGCTCCTAACTGCTGAGCCATCTCTCCAGTCCAAAACAAGTTTTTAGAAACTCTTCTGCTTCAAAAGAATTTTATTTTCAAGTAGAAAGATGTAGACACCAAATCCTACCATAGAAAGGTTAGAAACGCAAAAGTTCCACACAGCCCCTTTGGAGGTTACTGAGGGAAGCCATGACCAGCTGTCTCTGTGCTTCCTATTTTGTGATGAAATGAACAGTCTCTGCCACATGTTCCTACTACCAAGAATGGGGCTGTCCCACCATGCCTTCCTTGTCATGATGAACTCCACCACTCTAAAACCATGAACCAGAATAAACCATTTTCCCCTTAAGCTGTCTCTGTTGGGTGCTGTATTCACACAGATCCAAAAGTAACTAATACAGAAACTATAATATGTTTGCTAACTGTAAGTATCATAAGCGATGAAGGCTTGCATTGCCTCAGGATACCACCATGACATTCTTTTCAGTACAAATAAGTCATGTGTTGTGGATAGCCACGGCCTTGTATTTTGATACTAATTCCCCTTTCCTGTGAAGGGCTGCAGGGGAGGTGGGCCTCATTATACAGGTGATTTCTAGTGAACCTTCTGCCCATCTTTTTTTTTTTTTTTTTTTTTTTTTTTTTGGTTTGGTTTTTCGAGACAGGGTTTCTCTGTGTAGCCCTGGCTGTCCTGGAACTTACTCTGTAGACCAGGCTAGCCTCGAACTCTCGAACTCAGAAATCCACCTGCCTCTGCCTCCCAAGTGCTGGGATTAAAGGCGTGCGCCACCACCGCCCGGCTCCTTCTGCCCATCTTAATTTGTAAAATAAAGGCTAGAGCCAGTGATTGGGCAGAAGAAAGGGAAGTGGAGAAATAAAGGTTAGTGGGAAGACGACTAGAGGAAGACAATGGAGGACGGAGACGACAACCAGGGAGAAGAGAGGAGAGAAGACGACAGAGGACGACAGAGGACGACAGAGGAGGACGACTGGGAAGCAGGAGGTAGAAGGACAGGCACAGGGTCTGGAAAACCCACAAGTTATAAGGGTCTCATAGCTGGGGAACAGAGTAGTGTAGGGGTATCTGCCCAATCTAGGCTTACAGAATATATTCATAGTCACTGAGTTGTGTTTTCACTGACCGCTCCTATTCGAGTTGGAGATTTAAGTATCTCCCACTACAGTCCTGGATATTTTACGTCTTAAGATTACCATCACATATATTCAATACATGTAAAAGAGCACATGAACAGGACGTAGAGAAGATACAAGTCCATAAGCCATTTTTTCATTATCTCCCTAAAGCTACTGAAACTCTCTATGTATCCCTCTCAGAACCTCCAGAAGTAAATGCTATCCAAATATTTTGTTTATAATTCACTGGCTTTTTTTCTATTCTTTTTATTTTAAAATGCTTATTAGCATACATTAATTATACGTGTAGCTAATGACCTTTATCACAGACACTCCCCATGACATTGTATCCCCCTTCCACTCTTGCTGGTCCCTTCCTCTTCCCAACCAGCCCCCTCTACTTTAATGTCTCTTCCACTTTGTCTTTTTCTTTTGTTATTGTTTTCTTTTGTACTGTATGTTTTTTGGTTGACCCACTGAGCTTTAGCATGGTTGCTCACAGGGCATACATGATGTTATTTACAGACTTACAGTGCATCAGCACTGCACAGTAGTGCACTACTGAAGACGATGCTTCTCCCTCTCCTCTGCATGGAGTTCTGAGGATCCATACTCTAGTCGTCATACTTGCTCAGGGAGGGCTGTGGCCACTCAGCATCCTCCAGCCTGGCTAACTACACTCCTTAGATTACTGTCAATTGTTACCACAGCTAAGAAAGTGGAAAATCCAAAGCACCTTCAGCATCAGCTTGAGGAACTTTGGTACTTGTTTGGAAATGCAAAGTGGTGCCAACTAATAGTAATAGTGTTTGTCTAGCCTACTTTCATCCCCAGATGACAGTGTGCCTTAACCATAAAAACATAGAATAAAAGAGTACATCTCAGAACTTCATTCCAAGCCAACACGAAGGATAAGAATAGCTCCAGGTCATCTGTCTCAGAGCAGACTTACACAAGCATAAGGGAAAAGAACTCATTAACAGAACTGGGTCTTCAGGACACAACTTACATAAGTATAAACTAACTGAATGACTACAGAGTTTTAGTAAAACATTTGAAAGAATTACATGGTTTGACAAATTTGTCTTGAAAAACAACAACAAAGTAAGTTACTCTGACTAGAAGTAAAAAGACAAAGCTTCCTGAGTCATTACAAACAAGACAGAGCTGAGGCAGCTAAGCACACGTTCCACGTGTGGACTGGTGCCGGATGCCAGCACCCCTGTAACAAGCTCAACAGTCCATCAGGCACATGTCTCGAGCAGGAGGGCAGAGACAGGAGGGTTACTAGGGCTTGCTGGCATCAAGCTAGCCAAGAAAACTCTGGCTCAACGGAAGAGGCAGAGTCTGATAAGGGTGACACCTAAGAGCCTCTTTTGGCCTCCACACATGCACACACACCAGCACACTCATATGCACAGCACTCACACAAAGGTGCACAAATATAAATCAACAAATCTCTTAAAATATAAATAAAAATAAACAACAGTACAGATGATATCTTCCACTTGACAGACCTTGCTCTGAGCCAACTGCAATCATATCCTCCACATACTTAAAATGTTAAGGTGTGTTTCTCAGAGCTAAACAGTTAATTAATTATATGACACAAGAATCTCACTGTTAGCTATAAAAGAGAGTTATAAATATATCACAAAGAAACACGTACACATATATTAATAGCAGAACTACTCTAGTCCTTAGAGCGCAGTGTAAATGTCCAGTGTCTATCGGCTAACACAGAGATACACAGTAACAGTCACATGGAGCTAGGCCTTAGCTAGTAGACATCCTGCCTGCACACTGAAGCTGAGGGATCGATTCCCAACATCAAAAGGAAAAGAATGAATGTCTGCACAATGTATTGTGCAGCCACACAATGAAGGAAGTAGTAATGTATGCTGTAACATGGGAAAACTTGAAAACATTATGCTAAGTAGAAAAAAAAATCAGTCAGAAAAGGTCACATTTCATATGATACCATTTATAGCTACTATCCTACATAGAGACAGAAAGTGGATTGGGAGTTGATTAGTGTGGGGAAACTGTGGAGAAATAAGAAGTATAAATGGTTAAAAGATGCTGGACGGTGGTGGCGCACGCCTTTAATCCCGGCACTTGGGAGGCAGAGGCAGGTGGATTTCTGAGTTCGAGGACAGCCTGGTCTACAGAGTGAGTTCCAGGACAGCCAGGGCTACACAGAGAAACCCTGTCTCGAAAAACAAAAAGGGAAAAAAAATGGTTAAAAGATTGGGGCTAATGGAAGAGTTCTGGGGAATAGAGAAAGAGTTCCTGATGTTTATTGATGTGAAGTGCTTTGAAAGCAAAAGGACCTAAGTTCAATCTCCACAAACCCACATTAAAAAGAACAAAATCCAAGTGTGGAATTGTGGAAATAGAGACAGGCAGATCCCTGGAGCTTTATGGCCAGCTAGCCTAGCCTATTTGGTAAATTTCTGGCCAGTAGAGACCCTGACTCGAAAGAAATGATGGACATTACCAGAAGAACCACACACACACACACAGAGGGGGAGGGAGAAA